TACTACTACTACTACTACTACTACTACTACTACTACTACTACTATTATTATTATTATTATTATTATTATTATAACATACTTTATTATTATTATTATTATTATTATTTTTAAATGCTGAATACATGCCCCTATCTTTATCATGGCATTTATCATGCCTTGGCTTGAATACAATCAGTCAGTCTGAAGTATACTAGCGCATTAGCTGCGAGCGGAGCAGAATTCCTAACACTCAACGTCACAGTTTTTTTGTTTTTGTTTTTGTTTTTGTTATTACTGAGTTACAAACAGGTCCTGCAACTACAGGTTAAAAATTTGTCCGCAACTAACGTGAATGGTTGCCCTAAGTTGAGTCTGTTTTATCACCTCCTTAGAGTACCGAAAAGCCTAGCCATGTATGAGTACCGCGAATACGTTGCTCCGGTTGTTGTTTTGTTTTGATTTCTTCTACCAGCCATGGCAAGCCATTACTTAAATCTCGAAGACCTGCCATAATATTACCTCTATCTTTTGCACTGAAAGGCCAGCTTGCGTACTTTGCCAACGACCTTCCAAAATGGTGCAAAATTGAAAGTAACTCTCTCAAGTTTAAACTCGGCTAAACCATGCCGTTAACTGTCTTGCTTCAAAACTATAAACAATTTAAAGTGAATTTTTGTTTTGCTTCCCTTTTCCCTTGTTTTCTTTTTTGGCTGGGATTATAACAGCTCGCTTTCAGGTTCTAATAAAAAAGAAAAAAAAAAACAGTTTAGCAATAGCACGAATGCAACATATTAAAGCTTTCAACCTTTTCATTCAAGAATGCAACAAATTTTGGTATGAGGGTGAAAAAACAATCATGGAAACAACACTTGAACGCAAATTAAAAGCGGCAAAGTGAGATTATTGACTGGTTGAGAAGGGTATGGCCTAAGTTTGCATGAATGGGACAAGAAGACTGCAGCTTACAGATTACTCATACGTTGAACCGGGTTTTTTGGCTCAGTGGTTCTCAGCTCGTTTGGTGTTGTGCTTTGATGTTTCATTTATATATATCTGAAACATTAAAATGGAAACATTTGTTGTAAATCGTTTGCAATTTCATGGCGCGTGGGTAATTACTTTCTTGGTATTGCTTTGTGCGACCGACGTCTTAACAAATTCGACTTCTTTCTAATCAGTTTTCTATTACTTCTTAATTTCGATTTTTTAGACGGATTAGAAATTGTTGATTGGAAACTGATCTTGAAGCCAGACACCCCATCTTTAACAAAATATACCTATTTCCTCCTTTCTTTCTTTCTTTTTTTCTTTTTTCTTTTTCTTTTTCTTTTTCTTTTTTTTTTGGCCTTTCAAAAGCCGATAGGTAGAAAACAAACCTTAACTCACTGTCTCCAAGGTGTCATGCTTTTTCAAAACAGAACAATTTTAACTTCATCCAGCGCTAATGGGGTTTCAATTTTCACTTAGCTGTAGAAAACAATAAAGAAAAAAGCTTTTTAACGCACTTCCAAAAGCACCTTGTTTACAAAGTACATCGACAAGAATCTATTGGAACAACAAAGAAGTCGGGCTAATTTTGGAGGCTATGGGATACATCAATTTAAATTCTTCCAAACACGACATTGTTGCCTGGCACCTATTGGTAATCTGCGTCAGAGGGTAAAACTGAATTACCTCAAAGCACCAAAACGCGTCACTCTCCTGTTATAATCAGGAAATCTTAAAACCGTCCAAGGAAATCCTCCTCGAAGGCATCATTTAGAATTCGTCTGATATATCTACATCAGCATTGTAGGAAAGCATGCTTTTGTTCCAGTGTCTCTGTTATCTGACGTTTGTGGCTTGTACGGTGTTGTCCGAAGAACAGGACCAGCAGTGTAAGTCAAATATTATGATTGAAAAACGTGATGCCGTAAATTGAAAGTTACTACTTAAATCGCAAAAGCACTGACGGGGATATTTTAAATCACTGCTGTAGTGATTTCCCTTAGTCTCTTATTAATAACACTGCATCTGCAGCTTTTTTCACATTATTTCAAAATTCTACATCCTTTAAACCTTCGAAGTTCTTCCCTCAACTCGGAAAATTGGAGACATTATATATCTTTGTGTACAGCATTTTCGTGTTTGGTAAGATGTTTAAATTTTGTGTCCGCGACAAAATTTTGAATTTCACGGAAAAAATATATATTTATCTAAATGGCACAGCACCGTTTTAGTCTATCTCCCTTATACGTAATGGAGCCAAGATAAACATTGCTTACTCTCTTATTCCCTGAAAACTTGCCAGGGTTGCGACAAATTTTGAAATGTCAAACGACTTTCTAAGTAAAATTTGGATAAAGCTATCTGTAAATAAGTCTGATTCTTAAACCAAATCGTTACTGATGCAGATGTAAAGCGTTTTCGTCGAATCATCTGAGAATGCATTGAAAGCGGACTGAAAATATGACGGATACCTAATGTACAAGCTTCATTGCGCGTCAAGTGCATGGACCAAAAAACATCAGATTCAGTAAATTTGGGTCAGAAGGTCTGACATTCATGTCGACATTCATAGTATACTTTTTAAAGATTTTATGTGAAACTTAACTGTATACGTAATTATATGATTTTGCGTCGGGTAGGAGGGGTGAGGAAAGAAGGTTCATTTTAATTTGAGCTCAAAGCATTGTTACCACAGAAATCACTACTTAAAAATCCCTTGATTTTTTTCCTGATTTTTCCCTGACTTTTCCCTAATAAAAATAAAATTTCCCTGGCAAATAAGTACAAAATGTCAAATTCGCGCCCCCCTTTGCAACCGTCCTTTCTATCCATTCATTTGGGACCCATGAGTTTTCAACAAACTGAATTTTCCTTCTTTATAAAAGACAAAAGAAAAAAAAAAAATCGTTGACATCACACTGGCCCGAACTTTTTTTTTTTCTCCCAGCCATCAATGGAATGAGATAATTTTACTTTTCAATGACTTTTCTTCAAAATGTTAGGTTTCCCTAGACCCAAAATTAAATTCCTCAGTGACTTTTCCTTGACCTTGAAAATTTTCTTTTTACCCCTGGTCTATCTCCTGACCCGTGGCAGCCCTGTAAAGGAGGGCGGTACGTGTAGCTGGAGACTGGGCACTTAAAAGTCAAGATTTTCCGTGGTAAAGCGAACGTCTGCATTAATTATTGGGATATGCCTTAATTATTCCCAGCCCACAGTCATCCATGCCCGAGTCAGTCCTTTATCCGATCCATTTTTCCATTTATCCTTTTTCAAGTTGATCAGTAGTGCATTTTCCGTGACAGCCACCCGTTTTCCTAACTCCCCAAAAAATAAAATAAAATAAAATTAAGGCGTTATTATTGATGCATTATTTTGCGTGAAAACTAATTAGTTTGCTAGTTCGTTCGTTTGTTGGTTGGTCGTTAGTCTGTTTTNAAAAAAAAAAAAAAAAGTGACAGCACGCAAAAAGGAACTGACGAAGCAATTGCTTCTGATCGCATGATTTGTAGGAAAAGGCAGCCATATTATATTCCTTATTCAGGTCAATTAATGATAGATGGACTAGGTAATTGTCGAATTTCAATTACTTGCAACCAGTATACAGTATGGAAAATGTCAAGTAAGTTGTCATGCTCAGCAGGCACTGCCTAGACCCGCTCTATTAAGGAAACTACAAGATGATGTAAATTAGCCTTTCCGCAACAGGAAAGCCGGCGAATTAAGTGCCTGTGACACCACCGTGGCTGGCTAGTTCAAATCTGCCGATTTTGATTAATTTTCGCACTAAAATGGTCTTGTAAAGATCTACTCATTGCAAACATAAAATTGCGACTCCCCCCTCCTACACGATATATTTCACCACACCTGGGAGTTTTGAAACATTTTTCGATACTTTTATTGGTCTAATGCATTTGGTATTAAATTATTCACTGAAAGCTGAGAAACAAGGTATAGTTTAGGGGTATACGAAATACATATAAAGATTTAAACTTTTAGGGGCTTTTTCGTTCATTTTCAAACCATCATTTGTCAAAGTTATCATTTCCATAGTGGTTGTTGCTGCGATTTTTGGATTAAATCAAGATCAATAGCTTTTAAATTGTACGTCATTCATGGGTAGAGGCAGGAGCTATTCTGGCTCCTGGTTGAGGGGATCTATTCATCAAAACTGAATAAAAGCCCCGACAATTTAGAGCTAGAGGGTTAATATTACAAACTAAGAGCGTCAGTTTCATCACAATTGGGTAAAAACAACAACAACAACAACAAAAAAACTATTTATTTGTTTCTTCGTTCTTTTATTCCTGTGGTTTAGTATTCTGCGGTGATGTTTTATGTTCTTCCACGGAAATCTGTTCTAAGTGGAAAAGAGATGGATTTTGCCACACCACATATGCAAAGACCTACTGCATGGAAACATGCAACCACTGTCAACGAGGTAGAGCCAAAGACATTCATCGTTTTGTCAGATTAATTTTGGCTTCTACTATAATGGATTATGTCACAATATGGTGTAACTTCACATCAAGCCATTTCATTCCATGTTAGACATGCTTAGTCATGTCACGCCCTGTCAGTGTCATGTTATGTCAGGTCATGTCAGTGTCATGATACGATATTTGTCACATTACGTCACAGCAAGCCATTTTATGTCATGTTAAACATTCTACTTCCCGTCATGTCACATCATGTCATGTCATTTCTTGAAATTTATGCCACGCAATCAATATGTGCGCAATCTTTGTGCGTTTTGTGTTGGCCTGTAGGGTTTTCAAAAGTCAATGCGCCCGTCGAATCAGATCATCCAATACAAGAAACCAAGATTTAAAAAAAAAAAAAAAAAAAAANCCAGTAGCGTTTCCAAAAGTCAATGCTCCCGTCGAATCAGATCATCCAATACAAGAAGCCAAGACTCTTTTTCAAATTAGAACTGGCAAAACGGAATGTTAAGTCACGTAATCAATACTGTCTTTGTGATTCGTACGTTTCTCTGTGTGTTTTGTGTTGGCCAGTAGTGTTTGTAAAAGTCAATGCTCCCGTCAAATGAAATCATCCAAAAGGTTTTTTTAAGGTTAGAACTGACAAAACGGATGCTTATTTAATACTACATGTAGTGCTACCACAACTTCAATAATGTTGTTAAAGACTAGTACAGTAAGGAAGAAATGAAAATAGAATTTGGAGGGATCTCAGAAACTGAACAAGGATACTTGAAACAAATCAACCTATAAAAGCAGACAACACCAGAAAATAATTATAACAACCAAAAATAATAATGATAATAATTTCCCTGCAGAAAGCAAGCGAACAGTTCTCGATGTGCGTTACGAAGGCTGTTACCGCGACGGATTTCAGAGCGACTTTGAGAGGATGATTCCAATGAAACGCGAGCTCATTGGAGTGAAGACATGTGCGAACGTATGCCACTTGAAGGGTTACCCGTATGCTGCTATACAAAACGCCCAGTTCTGCATGTGTTCCCAAAAATATGGACGATATGGACTGGCTGATGACGACAGCGAATGCCGGAGACAGTGCCTGGCTGGTTCGCCCGATGAGAAATGCGGTGGGCCATGGAAGAATGCCGTGTACAGAATAGGTACATTCTGCGTACTCTTTGTTCTATTCTCTCTATTTGCACACTCCTTTAACTTTGCCAAATAACACATTGAACTATGTAGCTACCAGCAGAGGCCGTAATTATCTCTCTTATCCTGATATTTTTTTTCTATTTTTTTTTTTTTATCAAAATCACTGAAAATTCTGTTCTGTGAGGCTAACAAGCATTCAGTTTAATACTCGTTCCAGTTTGGCAAATACCTTGTCCTAAAATCTCATTACACTAGACCCGCTTTAAATCTCTCCAAACGAATTCCATATGCCCGTTTAGGGATTACTTCCACCTCTGACTATTTTTTAAATCTTTCCGCAGCTTCAAGAGAATTGTTAAGCGCAGGTGTAAACTTGAAAAACGTGGAAGACAGCCTAATAAACGCGGCGCCTCAAGAGCATGGAATGGAGAGCCAGGCTTATGACGGATTAGCTCATCAGTTGGAACGCTTGAGGGCAAAAAGGGGGCTTTACAAGAGATAGGTCGTTTCTCTTTTCACCGCATACACTCGTGATTTAAACATTGACTTCACTGGGTTCAGATGACAGCAATTTGAATGGACAATCATTAAACTTGTCGCAGGTCGCCGGTTACTGAAGATTACTACTAACTTTTACTACTACTACTAAGCTTGTACCAGCTCAAACAAAATAATCTCACACTACTCTTTCAACTACCAAGGAATATGTTATCCATTCAAATAGGACTACTCAGTAAATAGCGTTTGGTTGTACACATTTTTCAATTTATTCTACTTGGTTACTGTTTCTAAAAGCAAAATCATGCTTCGTAATAGGGACAGGTTCTCGTGTGTGTACATGTATGTTAATTTTCGGATAAGGAATATCCTCTACATCCTCGCCGATTCTCCAGTGGCAAATTTCAAAACCTTCCCAAGCTGTCAGCTGTCTTAAAATTATAATTCCAGCTCAAGTCTACGGATGGAAGGGGACGGGGAGGCGGGGGAGTTATATACAAAACGAAGAATATCTAATAACAGCAATGTTTCAATCACGGGTGTACATGATAAGAAAATCAGTGGTAAAACTCATATTTTTTGGTATTTATAATTTTCTTGGACAATGGAGAAACTAGCAATAGTCTGCGCAGAGAATCTCCAAAAAGAAACAGGTAAGACATCAAAATTCCTACCAGTTAATCTGGGAATTTCAGTTTTAAAGTCAAGAATTTTTCTTCCTGGGATGATCCAGTATTTGTTTCCTATCAACTTGTTCACTTAAACTTAAGTATAGTTATAGAAGTGAAAAGGAGTTGGGAATCATTTGTTGCTAGCCAGCTGGGATTTGAGGATAAAGCAGTTTCAACGATTTTGTTTGCTTGTTTGTAAATTGGGAATAAAATAAATAACTGACTGGCTTTACTGTTCATTTGTGCTTTGCTTCTGTGGACGCTAGCTCATGCATTTCAACCAGTTAGTAGGCGCACCAAACACTGGGAGTGATATTCTGCGTACTGTACACCCCAGGGACCACTCTCCAGGTGCAAAGTTTCACACCTCCACCGGAATTCCCAAAGCATAAAAAATTAAAAGGAATACCTGAAATACAGGCGTGCAAGCCCG